TGCCAACGCAGCCGCCATTTTTCAAAATGTCGATTTTCAACCCCATGAATATAAAACGTCATAAAATTCATATTTATCAAAGCATAAACACCAAAATTTGAGGAAATATAGTTAATAAAACAGTATTGAGAATTTTTACTTCCATTAAAAAATTACAGGGTTGTAATCACTTTATGAATGGTTCATTTCTGTAAGAGTTAGTTCAGGATCAAAACACTCGAACACAGTCCAGTGCGCCGCCTGTGCCAACGCAGCCGCCATTTTTCAAAATGTCGATTTTCAACCCCATGAATATAAAACGTCATAAAATTCATATTTATCAAAGCATAAACACCAAAATTTGAGGAAATATAGTTAATAAAACAGTATTGAGAATTTTTACTCCCATTAAAAAATTACAGGGTTGTAATCACTTTTCCGTAGGATTTTAAATATAGTATACCAAGTTTTAAAGGCAACTTTTTGGTATTGCGCCGCCTTCCTACACCAGACATTGAGATGTGTCTTTAAAATTGGAATAATTTGTGTAGTTACTCCATATTTGTCCATAAATTTATAAGAAAGTGTTGGTTTAATCTATATACGAAGTTTCATAAATGTATGACATAGGGTTCCTACAAAACAACGCTTGTCTACGGAATTTGGGACAACCCTCGTAAAATTAGGTTTTATTGTTGATGGTACTTTTTTAAAAGTAAGAAAATGTATATGTATTTACTGTTTACTGAGATTTTTATAAAAAATTTTAAATTTATCTTCAATTAAAAAAAAAATAATTTCCCTCCCTCCCTCCTGTGTCTGAAACCCTTCAGGCGGCAATTCCAAACAAACATTTTTTTAAGGATGGCCTAACAGAAATATAATGATTTTTCTCTGATGCGATTCCCGTGAAAACGACTGTGAAAATGATGTCTCCTGAATTGACGGTGCACCACACTTTTGTTAAATTACGTGTAATGCTCGAGATATCGCCAGCATAGACCCAAAGTATGCATAAAAAACATGTAGTAAACTAGGATATTCGTAACACTTGTCCACAAATAGCCAAATGAAATTTTATACCGTTAGACCTCTGTAAAAAAGGCTATACGGGAGGACGGGAATTAGATTTTCGACGAAAACTTTATCCGGACTGTAAAGTACGAGATTGAGAGCTACTAATATCAAACTATATCTCATAATTACCTGCAGTTTTCGGTTTTAAAACAAAAATTGAATATTCTTTACTTGTTTAATAGATATTAATCTTGACAAGAAATAGTGTTTGGGTGTTCAGTAGATAAGGTAACTGAAACTGTACAGATATTCTTGGAAAAATTTTGAGAAAATGAGAGATCAATCACATATTGTTTTAAAATGCCTGTGACATCGAAGATTTTGCTGCTCCGTGACTTAATGATATGTCCTGAAAAATCACTCAAAATTGAAACCAATTTACAACATTTTGGTATGATATTTTGAAGACTATATCAATAAAGATTATTTTAAAATAAGTGTGACATTTTGCACGTCGTCAACTATTTCTTCTGTGCTACGAGTCCGCGTAATTTTTGAACGGCCCTCGTATATGTACATTTTTATGTCAAAATGATAAAAATAGTAAATTTTTAAACATTTTCATTCAAAACACGTCAGAAGGCTTCGACATGTTAAATTTTCATGTTCTTATAGTTATGCTATGGGGAAGAAGATTATAAACAGATTTCTGTTATACATTCCTGTGACAAACTTTTTGCAATCATTGTGGCCCGGACCTACCCCAGGGAGTCAGGATTTAAGCAAACTTGACTTTACACTACCTCCGGATCCTTCCAGGAGAGTTTCAACTTCAATGGCTATGTCATGTTATTACTTCTTAACATAAGCATTCTTAAAAAATATGTTTATTTCATAATTTTATCAACTGGGAAGAAAGACAACAACAGACAACAGACTAATTCTGATCTGAATTGGTCACTGGAGCCTTAAAATCAACTCCGCTAAAAAAAAGGTCAACATTAAGAGTTTAAGGCTAATTTAAAATAAGTAGACGATTAACCTGTATTTATATTTATCGGGTAAAATTCAAATTTTTAATTCATTTTTACATATCTTATTTCTTTCGGCAAGTAGAGGAATATTAAAAAATAGTTGTGCAAATATTAACAATTTCTATAAGGTAAATGATAATGTTTTACCACCAGCCAGGCATGGTCTAGGCTCTCATGAACTGACATCCGTTCACTGTGAAATAAAAAGAATGACATTACCACATGCAAGATAAAAATTTGGTATTGCCAAGACCAATCTGGAAAAATTCAAATTTGTCCTTATTCTTTCGGATTTTAGGATTCAAATATCACTTCCGATAGCCATATCAAACAAGATTTTAGCAAATTACTTACTAAATACATTCGAGGAAATTGAATAGGAGCTTCACACACTAGTATGCAATGGATAAAGCAAACCTTCTGATCAACAGAAAAAGTATATCTGATATTCAATAAAAGTATCTTTAGTTGAAAGAAAATAGACAATTAAAAAATAAATGACTCTGATTCTTAAGTAGACAGTGAAATGAAAAATAAAATCCACCCACCTCTGTTTTACATGCAAACCAATTCAATTTTAAATTCTTCATTGGGCCTAATTATTAACTTTTTCTTATGAAATAAGACATTTCCTAAGCCATAATTCATACAAAAAAATTACATAATTAGGGATACAAGGTTTTTAGATTTCATACATTTTCAATGGGACCAGATTGGTAACAGGTAAATCTTTTCAGTTCAGGAGATTATTTTAAATTGGATCCTATCTTACCTAACCTTCAAGGATAAATATATATACCACGTCAATATTTCCCTATCATTCAAGCAATACAATAATTTGTTGAAGTATTATTTTCAATAACCTACGGCTGGGGCATAAACATCTAATTTAGTTTAAATATGACAACATTGAAATTTACAATAAAATCAATAAAATAATACTTTCTTTTCAATATTTTTATGGTTATTTTAAAATATATCTACATGTACTTCTATTCCTTAAATCTCCGTTTGTTTGATGCAAGTCTTCACTTCATTCTTTACAATATTCCTTCCGTAGGTACATTTGATTACATTCTTTAATGAACTTATCATAAAGTGTCTGCTGTCTTAACATGTGGTATACATTTTTTTCTTTTCAGAACTCTCGGGTGTATTGTGAAGATACAGCTGACCTTAACCATGCCCAAGAAACAACTAACTTAGACTTCAAATTCTTTTCAGATATTTGTTGCATATCTATGGCATATTAATCACATACATTGTATATTCTGTTGATATTGTTGATAAACTGTCAACATACTGTAAATGTATTATATTTGGCGTGTACGATATTTGGCGGAAATTCAATTTTCAACAAGTTAGCGTGGATTTGATTTAGCGCTGTCTAAGTTTGCTAGTTATAAAAGTTAATATACAAGACATTTAGCGATGTACTTGAATTAGCGAACTCTGCTTTCCGCCAAAATCGCTAAATAGAATACACCGCTAAATGTAATACGTTTACAGTATAATGACATTTTTTCTCCTTCGGATAATAAATTTTATACATTATTTACATTATTCATTTTGAAACAACCCCCCCTTACAACACTCATCATTGATAATGAAAGTGTCCGTTGACATTTCATCCGCAAATACATGTACATTTCAGTTCATCTGATTAAGTCTTTCAGTCGTTTTCTGTGTGATGGGCAATATATTTATATTTATAAACTTAATTATGTGCCCCATCAACAGGTTGGAGAATTCTCATATCCCAATTACCCAACCTTTACAAAAAAAAAATAATTTATCAATCAGTTTACTCCTACATGTATTCAACATGAATTGGTCAATTCAGTTATTAAAGACATCTTAACCTAACCTTCAATAGAATTATTTAACATGAGGTTCAAGTTTTCTGGGTTAAAGCTTCTTCTTATAAAAGGTTGCCATATAGGCTATATGGTACTACATGTACTTACTGGGGGTTCCTAACAAGGAGTCTCCTGATGAAGTCCTTGGACTCCAAAGATAATTCAGTGAAACACTGGTCTGAGAAGTCCCACACACAACGACTTACATTCTGCCTAGCCTCCTCCTCATCCTCACCAGCAAAGGGAGATATTCCACTCAACCTTTACAAAGAAAACATCTATTATAAGAAATGTGAATTAAGAGCAACAACAATGTCTTTCATCTTAGGGTCAAGTTCAACCTATAAAATAGCACATAATATTTTCAGTTGTCATTTCTTATATTCATAACAATTACCTTCACCTCTATTTATTGCGGATAATTTTCCAAAATAAAATAGTTCATACTCACAATACATAAGCAAGCACTCCAACAGCCCACATGTCTGTGTAAAACCCAATAGGTTCTGAAACTACTATCTCTGGAGCTGTAAACTCGGAATTAGCAGTTGTCACTTTGACAATCTGCTCAGGGTTCAGTTCAGCAGCCAGGCCCAAATCTATCATCTTCACATGATAGTGATTGATGGAATCACAAACTACATTCCCAGGCTACGAAAAGATCAGAAAAACAAATTCATCATCACTTCATACATATGTCCTTCATGTTGTTCACTTATTTGTGAATATTCTGACTTAACCCTACTCATCTAATAAATTTGAGATTTCATATTGTGGATCGAAGATAACTTTATTTTGGCCCATTCATTATTAGCAAGAAATGTCAACATTATTACTAAACATTTCCATACCTTTTACCCCTGTCTACAATTGCTAGAGGGCATAGCACTAAATTTAACACAGCTTTTTTACTATTAATACAAGGGTTTCTCTATTATGGTGGTCTTAGATTTAATTTAACTCTACATTACACACAGAAACTTTGTACCAAGATTCGTGAAATTTGGCACATTGATTATTGACAAGAATTTGAACATGTATAACCCTAACTAATGGAAAGCAGACAATGGAGGAGCAGAAAACCTCAACCGGGCTTTGCGAGCTTCCAGATAAAAAAAAAAAATTATAAAAAAAAATTATATCATTATACATACATGTATATCAAATATTTCAAAGCTTTAATGACTATGAGACAATTCACTTTACTGACCTTGAGGTCCAAATGGACAATGTTTTTCTCGTGCATGTGTTTGAGTCCCTCACAGATCTGTTGGATGTATTTAATCACATCGGCCTCTGTTCTATCATCTTGTACTGCTATCCTGCTAAACAAGTCCTCTCCATAAAGGCTATAATAAAACGAAGAGGATGGGTTCCATTAAATTATTTCAATCCAATATTAGTGTTCAGTCCGCACATTTTCCTCAATGAAACAATCATGTTACAGGAATTTCAACAACCTCATTCAAAGATAACTTTTCATAATTAAATTACATGATTAATAACATGACCTTGTAAACACCAATGCCATAGACATGTGCTACTGTTAATATTTTCTATACAATTCTTATTCTACTTACAATTCCATAATTAAAATCATTTCATGATAATCCTCAAATGCCTCCTTCAGATGAACAATACTGGGGTGATGAAGTTGGCTCATTATCCTCATTTCATTCTTTACCGTGGCCTTATCAACTGGGTAAGGAGTGCGGATAAACCTGGCGAGATACTTCCTCCCACTGTCCTTCTCTACACACTGATGCACTACTCCAAAAGCACCACTACAATACATCAGCATATGTCATATGAATGCTTCTTTCTCCTAACAATAGGCAAGTTTTGTAATACTAGCTCAAAAAAAAAAAGAAAAAAAAAGCTTAACATTGGACGCCGACACCAAGGGTATTACATAACCTCCCCCTAAGGCGTTGAGGTGAGCGAAAAATAATCAGGTTAAGGGTTGAAAACCTGAACAACGATAATGGGTGAGTTCGCAACTTTGTTTAGGACTGTTGCAATTGTATGATTCTCAAGTAATTTTTGGGATAAACGCTCTAAGGGGCAATTATATCTCTACGCCAGATACAATAAAGGTATTGGTTCGACTACTATATTATTGAACGTATAAGGAAAGCGGTGAACAGTCAGAGATTTTCCTCATAGCTAGATGTGCGCCAAGGTAAAGCTCAACGCTATAAAAGTAACTTCTTGCCATATCTAATAAGCACTAACCAATTCCACTTACCGGCCAAGTTCCTCCAAAATGTCATAATAGGTGTACACGCTGACTGATCTTATATTGGCAAGCTTAGAATTTCTAGAACAATCCTCATCTGAAAAAATATACTGATTAAATACCACCACACGTCCTTTTGAATCATTTCCCACTACATAGGCATTATTGGGTGATAACATTACTGTAAATATTTTTACATAAACATTCATTTCAAAGACCAGTATAAATGATTCAATAACAGCTGTGCCATTTGCAGATATATAACTTGTTTGAGGGGTTCTGATAGGATTCTTTGGAGGGAAATGTATTGCTATGTGCTGCTTTCCTTTAAAATGGGGATATGAATTTATGCCTCTCTTCAACTGTTCAATTTTAACAAAATTTTATAAGGGCATTTCAAAATACTTTGAGAGGCATGTAGGTTTCCCAGTACACTTTTGCACTACAGTATAAAATTGCTTATTTACAATTCCTTACACTGTTCTCCTTCTCCTGAAGATCTAGAAAATACCATCAAGTCCACATTGGTCAATGTATCAGTTTCCTACAAGTACATCACAATGAATAAAGCATATGGAGATCAAAAATATTATATTATATCAAAGTCTGTAAAACAAAATAATTTAAAAGCACAGCAAACACAAAACTTAAAAACATCAAAGGTGGGATCAGGTGCCATGGAGGAGTGAGCATCCCCTACCAACAAGTGTTATCCACCAAGTGCTCCAAGTCATGCTGAGGAAATAACGGAATAATCTCTCGTCATTTCAGTGTTAAAAATTAAGGCCTAACAGTAATATGACAAACATCAGTCAGCAGTGGCCAAAATCATAAAATGGTATTTCCTTACGAGGTCTTTGACTCGAACATAGAACTTAAGGAATGATTATTAAAGCTGCTCATCTTCGGGTTTCATCAATCAAACACCAATGTCAAAATATCTTCTTTAATGGAAGGGGTCATGATACATATCCATGTATCATGAATACCATGTGAAGTGAAAGAATGAGGAATTATTGTTCAAAAGTCAGGGCCAATGTCACAGTTGGGTGGATTCGGCCAAAATTAAGGGAAAATTCATAATCAATGTCAAGAGGTCAAATAGGTTAGTACTATAAAAGGCAACGTGCAAATGACTGCCATAAATACATTCACATACCTAGCTCCTACCAATCAGTCATCATTGGCAAGGATACCATTCTTGCAAGAGAATGACAAATGCAAAAACAGGACACAACATTCAAAATACCGTCTCTTTAAAGATGGGGGCATACCATTTCTCACACTTATAATACCTTACTCTGAATAATCTCAAACCATTAGTGAGATGTATAATAAAAAATGTACAATTGATTCAGCATTTATTCACCTTCTTCCATAAGAATGCATATTTGCATAATCTGTCTAATTTCAAAGCATACATACCATTTCTCTTAATTCTTTCCTTGTCCAATCAGCCATCCTACAACAGCATTATACCACTTTCTTCATGACAATCTCTACGGTAAATTATCTGTGAAATTTTCAATTCGATATTGGGTTGTAATGGGAAACATATCAATTGATAATTCTGTACAATCAACTACTTCTGTTTCAAAATCTATAAGTAGCATAAAAGAGCTCCTACACATCAAAAAGCGATTGACGACAAGAATTTCTTCATCAAAATTCTAATATCTCATCCTATACTCTACAAAAAATAAATCTTTACAAATTTGAGGTTTTCACCTTCATCTGATTTATACATCATTTTTTTGGCATTGCCCAGGAAGGCTACTGCATGTTGACACAGTCATGTGGTCTACATTTATATTTAATACCTTCTTAATATCTGAACACTACATCAAACTGTGGAAGGTTGGCAGTCAACTATTACACAAACGAACTTGTACACAAACCGAGTCCTAAACAAAAAGTTAACTTATACACAAATTGAAAGTCGAGTCGTACACATTTTTTATTTACAATTGTGCTTCATTATTCTTGTATGTTACTTCTACATTACATTTCCTAAATAATATAGAATGAGGACGAAGAAATGTGTTCATATTTTCTTCATATTTATTTCAATGGTTTAACATTCAATGTTAAACAATCCAAGTTTCTCATGTAAGGAATTCAAACAATTATTGTTTAACTAACACAAACGAAATGGTTTCTTGGATCTGTGACAAACACAGATTGAAAAATGCTCTTCATTTGGTATATGATTCATTAGGAGATACCGTATCGTATGTATGGAAAACGCTCCATTTTTACTCATTCCTTAAACTTCGTCATTGTGCGAAAGACGTGTTTATTTAGTTGGAAAAACAGGGTTTCTTTTCCTTATATAACTGGTACCGATAAACGGCACCATTCCCAATGCCAAAAAAAAACATAAATTGTTCCCAATTCTGTGACTAAAAATTCCCAATTCAACTGTAATGCAAAAGAGTACGACAACATCGTATTTCTTGTTAAATGAAACATTGTACAAGTTGACTAATTGATGACTTCCGCTTAAATAGAAAGTAGAGAAAGTCGTCATTTGGGGGACATGTGGGTTAGACAGCGTAGTGTCATACATTTGGACAAACTGAAAGCATGAAAATGTCAAAGCATGGGACGTTGGCATAAAAAACAATAAGTACTTGTTGCTTATTCTTAAGACAAGGAGTAATAGGTAGTTCGTTATAATAAACGCAAAATACATTGCATTTGCATAAATGAGAGAAAATTCGCCTGCTTTTCTTCGATGTTATTTTTCCCAATTGAACCGGTATCGGACCCATTCCCAATTGCTGCAAAAAAAAAAATCGCTGAAAAATTTTCAATTATTCTAACCTTTCTCTTTTTAATTGGACAATTTCTATGGAAATTGTATACAATTATATATATACGATTAACCTTCAATATATTAAGATGTACTTCGATCGTATTTACCATCATAACTACATAAAACAATATCCAGAAGTGAAATTTCCAGATTAAGTAGGTACAAGAAAAGCCCTTGTGTACGAGTTGAATTCTATATATTTCTACAATGGGGAAAAAATTCCTAAATCAAAAAGAAAATTCCATGTAGGAATGACACTAGTCTTGTGTACGACTTGACTTCTGATTTCTGTACGAGTTCACCACTCCTATTGGTGTACGACATGAATTTTTCATTTTGTGTACGAGTCGGTTTGTATACAAGTTGACATAGACAGAATGTTCTATCGTTAAAATGATAAATGTCCTACGAACCCAGTTTTACGATGGAATGCGTTCCATGTATTCACAGTGTAGCAAAGTAAACATGGGTGACTAGTGCATTTACTATGAACAATCAAGAGAGTTCCGAACATTAACATGGTGTGTAAATTTGAAGCTAGAAAAATCCTGGAGCCAATTACTTGAATTTGGGTCTTTAATTACACTAAACTTTAGGTTTAAATACTTGCACAGCTCCAAAAAGGTTTCTTATGATTAAATTGGAAGTTATATTCAGTGTAAATCCCTCGCTTTTCTTAAAAATCTTTTCGGGGCGGTTATGCAATTTCTTGCTACATTTCGATTATTTGCATGGCATTCAAACTGTGGTGAGGGCTTGTCCAGAGACACGGTTAGATTATTCTAACTAAAGTTGACTGAACAACTTTTTCAAGTATAATAGATCATTTCAATACTACTAGCACATACAAGGCGTAAATCAATGCAGGCATAAAGTTAAGTTCAGTTTCTAAAAATCTACATAAAATGTTGACTGACCTTTACAGTTTCAACTCAGATATCTGAGTAGTTTCAGAAATTTCAATTAAGGGTAATTATTGACAGGAATTAGTGATGATATAGATCTATAAGATACACTTTTAACCTTGGGTGAACAATTCTTCTGTATTACTATCTACAGTGGGAACATAATCTAAAAAGATACCCTAATTAACTATTGGCAACAGTGGAAAAATACTTGCATATGACACCTTGAATCCATTAAAAGCACGAATACAGATGGTTAAAGATGTCACCCAAACATCTGCGCCTTTCTTTGGAGGAGTCCTATATGGTAGCCGGGCCGAGAAGAGAGAACACAAAAATATTACCAATACTTTATGTTTCAACATACTCACTGACACACTTAAACACAACCATTAACTCAGACTTAACTTCATTATCTTACCACATAACTTCCAACAAAACCTACTCATCCATTCAACCTTTCATGTATGCTCGTACTCCCGCCAGGTTTTTCGCCCTCTCAGCTGGGATGACGTCACTATATATCCCTACACTTTCCCTTTCGGACCACTATACTGTACATGGTCAAGAAGATTTCACTTATAACTTATAAGCCATTTCAGTTATGTCTGTAATTTTGAATAAAATAAGATTTTAAGTTACTATATCTATATTAAATCTAATATTTCTGAGGACTACTTCTTAACAGGCATCATAAACGGTGTTATTCGGATCCGGTATAATACAAATGACAGAACCAAATGCGGTTTATCATCCGGAATTTCAAACGGATGACGGACAATCAAGGAATGAAATCAGATCAGGAGAATGAAATTTATTCCAAATACATTACATAGGCGTCTGAGCCGGGGGGTTGGGGGGGGGGCGGAATGAGCAGGTTTAGCCAACACCCCACCCACTTTCTATCCAACCCTATTTTCCACAGACATGTTGTAGCCGAACCTTATAATGGGGAAAGTGGCGGTGTTTAGAAAACAATATTGGTTCTGAAGTCTGAACATAATCCTCCATATAGGGTTTTCGGGTTGGGCATAAGCATTTTAACCTTTCTTTCCTGGGGCTTGTCAGGTGGTTTCCATGGTATTATTCCTTTTTTTGATACACTTACCCTCTCCCCCCTTTCTCATTTTAATTACATTCGATTTTTTTATTTCTTTTTATTAAAATAATCTAGGCTCCTTCCTTTCTTTCTCTATTCACAATGCAGGGGCGGATCCAGAAATTTTTGAAAGGGGGGGTTCCAGGGTTGTGTCCCTCTAACCCCCCCCCCTTTACACACTCTCAGGCAAAGATTCACACACACATGTATAAGATTGTGGAAAATAATATCTTTGTTCTACGTCCTTATTTCTTTGAAAATCCTTTTTGGGTTGGATATAAAACAATGAATTAAATTTTAGTTCCTTCACAAGATTTAGTTAAAAAATAACACCTTCTTGTATATAGCCAACACAGCCAAATTAAGATCGGAGGAATCTAATATCAAATTTAACCTCGCATGTTACATGTACATATCATATATAAGATATATAAAAATAAGTAGAATATTTTCTACCATTCACTCATAAATAGTAATATTGGAGATCAATGGAAAAACTAAATGTGTGAGAATCTATCTATTCAATACATATTTAAGTTTGACGTACAAATACTTATTCCCGGGAAACGTTTTATCCCCCTTCTTTCTCTCTCTTTCTCCACTTGGCAAAAAATAAAGGGGGGGGGTCCAACCCCCGGAACCCCCCTCTGGATCCGCCAATGCAATGACATCTTGATATTCAAGCACTTGTTTCATAGGATTACTATTCCCTTCATTTAATTAATTAAACATAAATCTCTTCCTTCCTTTATTTCTTTCTTGATATCTACATTCGTTTCTTCTATCACATCGTCACTTCTGTAACTTCATTACAAACACTTTTCATGTACAGGTATGCAAAACAAATCATAAGAAACAAGGTGGACGTGCTGTCATTTCTACTTAAATCCCTTGTCATGACATATATTTCTTTTCATCCTTTCCATATTGCAGGGGCTTGTTCTGTGGACAATATCAGGGTTAAGCAATAAAAAAAAGTCTAGCGGAAACCCAGAAAAGGGGAATTAACCACAAACGAGGGTTTACCGATCTATAATGCAATGCACATGAGCAGTAAGTCTGACCCTATCCAATATAAAGAAGTCAAACTTTGCTATTTCATCTACATTAGGAAAATAAATTTCAATATTAATGTTAATTCCGCTGTATAATTTGTCACTTATGTCAACCTCAATATTTCATCTAAGATTTCCAGATTACTTCAATTTATAAACAAGGAATAATGAATTATTGCCCACCGTTTAATAACGTCATTTATTAATTTCTGGGGGAACTTTCAACTAAAATGTCATAAAATTGTGGGCTTTAAATCAAAGGAAAATTATACTAAAAATGAGGAACATATCTATTTCAGATGACATTTTAAATAAGGTAAAATAATTTCAGGTTTTCCTTCAAACCATCTACATTATTTTTGAATCTGTTCCAAATATTCTTTTGAATTCTTCAAAGGTATAAAAGAGTATACATTAAAACAAATTGCTTTATAATTTCATTTTAAATTGCATTTGTGAACACAGCCTGGACATGATTTCGGATAATGACAACCGTCGAGTCATCGACAGATGAAGTGAGAGCTAACTGAAACCGCCCATCTAAAAAAAAAAATATTATTAACTACACATTTCCTTGTAGTTCTTAATCATCACAACAATAATAATTACATTTATTATGTGTCATCAACATTACAAG